TACTAGTAGTTCTAGTAGTACTAGTAGTACTAGTAGTACTAGTAGTAGTAGTAGTAGTAGTAGTAGTACTAGTAGTAGTAGAAGAAGTAGTAGTAGTAGTAGTAGTGGTAGTAGTGGTAGTAGTGGTAGTAGGTAGTAGTCGTCGTCGCCATTGTCCTACTGGGAGAGCGACACTCACTGCGACTACGACGGCAGCTGCTCTCTTGGTAATTCCTGACTCCGGCTACTACTAGAGCCAGTACCATCAAGCAACATTGTTCGCCCGTCTTTAACGGCTTGAACATGCTTGAACTTTTTCGACCTGAATGTTGCAACTCAGCTGCTGCTGCCCAGGTCCCAGGACCTGCCCGAGGGTGCACTCCTAAAGCGCAGCTTTCTGAGCTGGAAGGACATGGTGCGCTGTAGGTTGTTGTGGATGTTCAGGTTTTGCATATGTTAATACATGCTGGTGCTGAGTGTAAACTCCATTTCAGCTGTCGGCATCAGGCTACCAAGGCTGAATGGATCTTTAGTACTTGCTGAGATGGGCTCCGTCCACCGAGTTCACGTTTGACCACCGCACTGCCACAACCGAAACGATTGCCCGCCGTGTATGTAGGCAGCAACTCGAATGCCCCAAAATCGTTTTTTACTTGTACTAGATATCGGAGGACTTGAGCCGTACATTGCAGCTTGGTCGCTTTCTGATGCCTTGTATTTTCGTGGCTCTAATGGAGCCCAAAGTTGGCACATGAGCTACCCATGCCAATAAGGGTCGACGGCTAGAACGTGGGTTGTGCCATTACATATGTTGGTGAAGACGACGGCGACGACGTTGATTAATTATGATGAGAGATGATGACGGTGCTGGTGTCGACTGGATTACGCTGTTCCGTGGTGGAGATGTTGTTCTCATTTGTTGTCGTGTCTGGGTATGTACTCAAAGTGCTGCATCGCTGTGGGCGTGGCTTGTATGTCGTCACTCATACACGTGCATCATTACACTCACACTGCACATGTTGATACATGTGGGAGGTGGCCTCACTCGCCTTGCTCCGCGTCAAGTTGGAGAATGTTCACCTGAAGGTGCGAGCGACATGCCGTGACATGACCTGCCGACTTTGCCTGAGTTTCCTTTTGTGCAGCACAGCCCCTTCCGCACGTGCGGTACTGTTACTCCTTAGCCTCGGCCGCAGGAAAAGCTGAAGCAGCAGGTCGGTGCGGTGCGGCGGAGTGTGCGTAAGAACAGGGTACTGTAGTCCTTGTCCAAGCCCTGCCGCTCGGAGGCCTCCGTCAAGAGTACCGTGTACAGTCCTGCTGAGACCATGCCCGTGGCAGGATGCCAAGTCCTCGGCCTCCAGCAGTCCCAAGCGGGGGAAGGACGGCTTCAGGGAGTGCACGGAACTATGCTGAACTGTTGCAGGTGATTTCGGCGCTGGGGTGTCAAGCGTTCAAGATAATCCGATCTCTTCTGTCTGTGCCATGCATGGAGTTAAAGCTTGCTGCAAAACATCTGAACTCGCCCTGGAACTCCACCTGCCTTGGCAGGTGTCTCCAATGTCACAAGGTGGAAAGGCCCAACGCTTCGATCAGATGCAAAATGTCTCGCAAAACATTCAGCACTCTGTTATGTTCCACGACATGCAGACATGCCTTGTCCAGGTGTCTGTCGACTTGAATTCGCCGGACCGCCTGGTGAAGTTTGGCGTTTCGTCACCAAAGGCCGTGCGACTTCGTTGAAGGCTGCAGTTGGGGTTTTTGTGTCACATAGTGAGGTAGTTGTCTCTATCATCAAGATGCATAAGACTGTCCGTCAAGTTTTCGTTCCCTGCATCATAGCTCACGGGAATTGGCACCTGGCAGGATTCATTGTAGGCCCTCGCGTAGACCTATGGGTAACGTATTGCAGCTCAGAAGTGGGAATCCTGGTAGGTTGTGACCCCCGTCAATTCACCATCGTTTGTTCCGGATGTCCCGGCTGTGCTCTCAGATGACACAGGTTGCCACTTAGGACGGTTATGATATACAAGGGGCAGAAGGCTCACGTGGTAAGACTGGGGTTGTAGCAAAACCAGAGCGGCTAGAGGGAGATTTGAACTTACTTCTGTGACCTGCTTATCTTTTCATTACTGAGAATTCTTGCGCATGTGTTGGAGGCATCTGTGTTTCTGCCATATACGATCGGCTCAACCGTGAGGAATCGCATTTCTGGGAACAGTACAGCACAATCTAGTGAAGCTAGTGTCTCCGGCGGCTCTAACTCTAGCGTTTCTGGCTTTTCATAGCTCCGACTTTACTTTCTGAAAGGCATCGCAGCACTCCAGAGTTGAATGCCTGACTAAGATGTTTTTTGCCAAATGCTTTGGCCATTGCAACTTGCAGCCAAACACTAAGCCGTGCCAGGCTGCATAATACCACCTTATATCAACATTACTTTGTAACATGCTTTCCTGCATGTGGTGATCTTGAACAACAACGGACTTGAGGCTGCATCTCCGGGGACACTGACACCCTCCCCGGTGGTGGCGCATTCGACCGGAGAGGTCAAGCTTTCGAGTCATGTTTTATTTGCTACTGGGAGTGCTGGTATTTCGTTATGGTCCTGTTAACAACAGTAATTTCGTATTTTGAGGTTCCGTGCTTAGTGTTCATAGTGTTGTTACGAGTCGGTGCAAGCGCAGAAGTCCCATGGCCTGACCAGCGGACAAATTAAGCGAGAAGAACCAAAGTACACAGTACTTGCTCGGTGTTTTAAGTGAAGGACTGCCTATATCTTCCCATGTAAAGCTTCAGTAAGGAGTACCGAACATCCCGTATATGCCTTGTATGAAAACTAGGGTCGTATGTTAAAGTATGTTGCCGCTGGCGCGGCTGGCTTTATAGACAACAGTGGCTACAACTAGAACAGTCGCCCCAGTGGTTATTCAGCTGTAATGCTCTTGCATTTGTGCTTCTTTTGTTCTTGTTTGCTGTCTTGACTTAAATAAGCTTTACATGCCTTTGGGGCTCTTACTTGGTAGGAGAGAAGAGTATCGAACATGTTGTCAGCGCTGTTCCTCCCAGTCCCCACACAGATCGTCAGATTCCTGCACTGTGGAATCGAGGAACACCCCAAGGCCCTGTCCCCAGCGGACCCAAAGAACCCAATACCCCTTAATTAAGGAATATACCTTAAATCATAGGGGCCTTAATCTTATGATTTAAGGTATATTCCTTAATTAAGGGGTATTGGGCTCGCTGGGGAGGTGCTCTCTGTGGCGCCGACTCTTTCGCCCTCGCCTGTTGTAACCTTGTCGCCGACTCCGGTCCTGCAGGTGGGATGTTGTTCCTCACAATCACGGCTGTATTTGGGGGTTTCCGAAAATTAGGGGTACCTTATTTTAGGGGTCCTTACAATAAGGATCCTATTATTAGGGGTACTATATTAGGGTCCCCTATTTTTGGAAACCCCCGTATTTGTTTTTGACAGGTTTACCATGGTTTGCCGACGTGCTGCTGATCTTTCTTAGACTAGTTCGGCAGATTGATGGGGTGCTACAATACCAGTGACGCGTCATGCCTCAAGCAAGTTTCGAAATCGGCTGTCAGTAAGACTGGCAGTCAGTGTCTCGTCTCCTGCACTCAGGATTCTAAGAAGTGGCGCGAGGTAGGTTTGGTTTCACCTGCTGACTTTTCTGTGGACCTGTAGTGGATGTGAGGCAACGGTGGGTAGCGGTTCTGCCAGCTGCCTGAAGTCATCTTTGCCTCCAGAAGAGCTGCGGGAGGTGCTCCTTCGCTTTCTCCCGAGATGCAATACAATTCATAGAAAGTCCTGGAGCTTGTAAGGACTCGGAGACAGCTCGCATCGAGAATTTACCGCGAGTGTGCAGCTGGTAATTCTGTATGGTTGTCCATGCAACAGCTATTACTGCACCTTTAGTCAGGCTGCACACAGAGTCACAGAGATCACATGTTCGGATTCTTGCAGAGATGTACTTGCTTGAATGCAGCCGTACTGTCACAGGCGGGTGTCGTCGATCGGCAAGATGAGGCCGACGCCCTGTTTGTGGCACAGCTTCTGTGTGATCATCACAGGTCTCGTAAGTCACGGTCCAAAAAGCATGAACTCTGTGTTATCCTAAGACGCCTACAGATGCACAAACACACGAATATGTGCTCTCGCGACACTCCGAAGCTACACCATCATACAATCGAAACCCCCAACCTGTGACCCTCAAAAGCTCCACCGAAGCAACCTTAGACAAAAGCCGCTCGCAAGTGGCTCTAACTCTAGGCCTTCTTGCGTGAAGCCTTGGACGGCCGAATGGCACAGATGCTGCGAGCCTCGACCTCAGGGCTCTTCTGTGGCCTTCGTATAATGGTCATAAAATTAGACCGAACATAATTTAATCGAAGGTATAATCGCATAACAGAGCAGAATAGACTATGAATTTTGATTTGACCACCTAATATGATGCAATCTAACAGGCTCAACATAAAACTTTTAAACCCTAAACCCTAAACAATCAACATAAAATTATTCACCTTTGTATAGCTCTTACAAGATGGCCGCACAGCGGCGCCAATCCAGAGTTGAGCCAGAGCTGGCAGCTGGCGTAGTATCAAGAAAGATATAGTATAGAACACACACATCATCATAGAGCATAGAATAGACAATATATAGTATAATCTAAATTATGTCAATATATATATATACACAATATAAAATAAAACATTCTTTACAATACAATACAGTATAATAAGTTATAGGATATCATAATAAAGTATAAGGTGACATAATATAGTTTATTATGATATAATATCACGCAACATATTAATGCAGTGTCAACTGCTGCTTTGCCACTGTGTACTACCGTGTAAGTCCCTTAGCCTTAGTCACTCGTGACTGCAAGGATTGCTGACAAGCATGTCGTACTCTTCAGCTTCTTCTGTTGCACATAGCCTTCTCGCACACTCCACAATATGCCACTGCATTGCAGGATGTTGCACCCTGGACCCTGTTATCACTTCCACTCTGTCCGAACACTTTAGTCGAATAAGCTGAGGTGCGTTCTGGTAACCTAGTATCTTCGGTTGTATCCTACACTAGAACACCTGTGGCAGCCTCTGGTGTTCCGTTATTAAGTCTTGCATCCCGCTTCTGTGTAGCACTGTTGCAATCGCTCTTTTGCCACCACAATCTACCATGTTTACTGCATGATGTCACGGTTTGGCCGTTCTTGATGCTTGTAGGTCTTTATACATCTATGCTGATGATGCTTTTGCATATCCGATCTGCCAGTAGTGGCTGATACTCGCGGCTTTGCAGAGTTCATGCCGTATGTTGTGTCTAAGGTCTATAGTACTAGGACTGGATCCCTAGTCTAAACCCTAAACCCTAAACCTTAAACCCTAAACCCTGTGAGGAATTTCCGGACGAGGCTCCGGCCAAAGCCGAAGCAGCAAGAGCGCGTCAGGCGCACTCCAGCCAAGTCACCACGGCAGAGGGTTTACGGTTTGGGCTTCAGGGTTTAGGAGTGCTGAATATTGAGACGAGGACGATCCGGATACCAGCACAGCAGTGTTTGCTGAAGAGGTGTTGTGTGTGCATCGACAAAATAAACGGACGAAGCGCGACCACGCGAGATCCTGCCGCAGGAGCTTCGCAAAAGGCAGAATCTCTCGCAGCTTGAATTGCGAGTGCAGCGGCAGCGGGCTTGGCAATCACAGCTTCTGTCCTCACAAGGGTTGGGCAGCGGAGAGCGGCTTCTGCACATCAAGTGCCCGAACCTGGAAGACATTTCGTGACCGTTTGAACTCGAAGAGCAGCAGGCGCCTTCGGACAGAAGAGCACATTCTGCTTCGGCTGGTCTGGCAGGCGCGTCTCAAGCCTCGTGTGGCCTCTCGCTTTGTTCCTCTTTGAGCTCGAACTGTCAGCCCTACTGCTACTGCTGCTACGGCCACCACCACCACCACCACCACCACCACCAGCACCACCACCAAGCAGACCAAAAAACAAAAACGATATTTCGATTCAAAAGTTGAGCGGACGATGTGACTGTTCATGCAACTGCAACGTTCAGGCTTGGGAAGACTTCGATGGCAATGGCATTGTCCGGGCCATGGCCGATTGAAGACAAGCCGGAACCAGATAGCGGAACAGAATCGTGATGGAGCAGTGTCAGTGTGTTTTTGTTTTATCAGATCTGTTTGGTCTCAAGGCTGACCCAAAGGCTCGTTTACAACTTTGTGCCATGGGCTGCGGTGCAAGCACCACCGTGCATCCAACATCGCCATGCTCCCGGGGACCTCAAAGTCTCCGCATGAGCAAGAAGCGGGTAGAGGCAGTGCTTGACCTCGATGCGATGACCGTCCTTCCCAACAGCCCGACACAGAGTCCTGATGAACGGCTAGACTTGGAGGAGTCATCAGACGAGCAAATGTCTGTAGAGGGGGTGGAGGACGAAGCACGACTCTGGTCATCGATGAACATTGAGGATGTCGAGGCCAACCGAAACCAGCCATTTCCAACGCCGCCCGATCGACGGATGCATGATCGGCACCTCCGGCGGATCGAGCATCTAGGTCGACAAATGGCAGAAACTCCTCATGCATTTGCACTCGTTGTCTTGAACCGACGATGCCGGTTGATCGACCAAGTCAAGACCGCGTAAGTGGCCTCACAGGGTACAAGGTCGAATTGCAAACATGCAGTCGTCGTCGTCGTCGTCACCACCACCACCATCATCATCATCATCTTCATATTCAGATTCAACTTCATCGTCATCGTCATCATCACCATCAGCATCATCACATGAATATCATAATCAGCCGCATCTTTGCAATACGAGGAACGCCCGGCCGCAACAACATGAGCGGCAGCAATCACAAATAATCACAACCAAGATAGCGATACCACCATCACCAGTAGAGACACATCTAGAAACCTTCAAAATTAGGAACGTGCAGCAAAACCATCACGCTAGTAAAGGAGCAGCACTGGTATCGGTGAGGCCGCATACTTGGTCGCCTGGTACTTCTATTCGGCAAGGGTGCTGTCTAGGGGCAGGCCCGAAGGCACAGACCTATCAAACGGTTTGCTGACCTTTGGCCCGCTTGAAACCCAGACAGTTTCTCTTCCTTTGTGGTGAAGCTCGAATGGGATGGTTGGTCTGCTCTGAGTCCAACTTTGTTGAGGCCTAGACAGGCATTCAGGCTCTTTCGCAACCCAGAAGGTTTGATGTGACTCTGACATTCCACACTAGCCGAAGAACAACCTTATCGCTGCCATGAGAGCTTAATGCAAGTTATCTGCCCAACCCATGCGATGATGAGTGCCATTGCCTTTCTGACTCGTGCTAGTCTAGCCACTGGTACGACTCTTCTTGTTTGAGTCTGCTTACACCTCGTCGTATGCTTATGAGCATGCATGCTTTGAAGACCGTGATTGCTACTCTACCAATTCCTGCGACCCGGCGTAAGAGCCTCGAATGTTGGGATCTGTTTGATGATGATTTTGAAGTAAGACAGCACGTTGCGCCTTCGTGATGAACGACTTCATGACCACTGTCATTGATATGTGTAGTGGCTAGTGCCATTCTAGTGCCAGTTACCGCGGATTTCGTTGCTATCATGAGTGTGATCGTCAATATCTCCGTCATGATCACTTTTGCTGTTTCTTGGATTGGTGGCCGAGTGAGCCTATCATGTGCGCTGAACATATGAACTGCAGGTCAAGACAGGTCGGAGCAGGCCACAACCCAATCAAGCAACGGAGGTCACGTTAAAGTGACGGAGCCAAGCGCCACAAGGAACTTGCAGCTGCTGCCTGCAAGCAAGCAGCACGGTTTAGGGTTCAGGGAACTTCCAGAACCTAAACCCAAGATAGCCGACGGACAGTCGGCATGTAAGTTGAAGGCTGCCGGATAGCTTCCTCAAGTCTGTCTGAGCAAACCCGAGACGATTTCCGTGGCTTCGAGCTTCGCAGCCGTCGCTCTTCCAGGGATTCAGCATCCTGCAGCATCGGCAACTTCAGAATAGAAGCGAGTTTCAGTACAGCTTGAAATAGTTGCAGTAATAGCAACATTATACTTTTACAATCTGATACAGCAGTCTAAAAGTCTTTGGAAGAGATTGAATCCTAGGAGCTTGTGACGGTGGGATTCTCTTCCAATGCAGCTGTGGGAGCTCCACCTTAACCGTGCAAGTGGGCATCAACCCCTGCTGCCAACGTGCGAAGGGAACCTTTTCCAGATGGAGTTGTCACAGGGTTTCTAAAACCCGGACAGCTGCAGACACAATTCTGCTAATGACCATGCTTCTTGCGGGAACACAGCGATGGGCGCCTAAGAGTTTGCGGACAAATAATGTTATAATATCTTTGGGCGTCCTTAACTCACCCTGGCTGGTCAAGGCCCCCGCAGGAGCGATTGATAACTTCCCCGTGCCCAGTTGTCAGAGGAGTCCCAAAACCCGGACAGCTGGGCAGTTTGAGGCTGAGTCCTCACATGGGTAGTTCTCTAAATTAGGGTCCCTTGTTAGATCCCCAATATAGTACGGCACCCTTATAAAAAAAGGACCCCAAAAGCGACCCTAATTTAAAGAACTACCCACATAGGATCCAGCACTTCACGTCCCTAAATCGTCCCGACCTGGTGCGGTTGAGTCCCAGGTTGGGAGTTCAATCAGGGACGTAGAAGCATGAATCGTAATTTGCAGCAGGCAAGAGGCTGCAGCCTGTTTTCTAAAAATTAGACGCCGCAGTCCCACTTCTTGTGGAGTCAGCTGGGCTTATGAATGCAGCAGAGAAGGTCGTACGTAGGAGGTGACTGAGGTGACCGGCATTTGTAACTCGGGCAGCTTTAATTGTTGCTTCAAAACGTCACAAGCTTGCACTACACTCGCTTCAACGCTTGCATTGACCAGGCTCCGATACTAGTTCCGTGGTGGTGAGGGTGATTCAGGGTGCGCAGTGCAAAAAGCAGTTGGTGCTGGATCTGTCACGGTTGCGTTTGGCAGCTTCGCCACACAGGTGCGGCTGGGTGGTACGCAATGTAATGGGCGTCTCATAATCTGCATCTGTGTCGACCTGACTATTTGTCTGTCATTTTCTCTATGTACCTATCTATGTACCCGTCCATCTGGCTATCTAGTCGATCCATTCCCTTCCTTCAAATTGTATGCTATTCTATTCTGCTCTATCCACTCCATACACTCTACTCTATCGATTATCTCTCTCTGTATCTATCTAACTTTCTATCTGTCTGTCTACCGAGCTACCTAGCTAGCTATCTATCTCCAGATCTCTCTGTATCTGTCTCTGTCTACCTATGTATCTACGTCTCTCTGTCTCTCTTTGTCCTTCTATCTCTGCGTAGCTCTTTCTCTCTCTGTCTCTCTCCCTCTCAACCCATCTATCTGTCTAGCTAGCTCGCTCTCCACCTGGCTGTCTGCCTGTCTCTATCTACTTAGCTGTCGATCTATCTGTCTATCTCACAAACTCTCTGTCTCTCTCTCTCTCTCTCTCCCCTTATGTATATATGTATGTACGTACGGTTACACAAATACGTACATACAGACATACATACATACATACATACATACATACATATTTACACATGTACATACATACATACGTACATACGCACACATACATTCAGACATGCATGCTGCATGCAGTATTCACACTTATTTACTTATACACGTATACATATATATATATATACATACATGGCCTCAGAATGCCTCAGAGGTTACAGTATCTTCTATTGATCAGGCTATCTGGTGTTTGTTGCATGGAATGTTGCAGAGACGTTCTGCGGAAGGAGCAGGTGTCAGGTGTGCAGCGGCTTGAGCCGGATTGGCTTAGGCTCCTTTGCACAACAGCCTGTAGTATTTTCCGCTATGCACGTAGTCTGGGATGATGGTTGTACGTGCTCAGCGCGCGAACTGCCACTCCTATGCTGTCGTGAACCATGACTTGCCTCAGCTTCAGCATGAACTCCTGCATTAGCACTGTGACATGACATGCTGCGGACATTCGAAGCAATCACTGACCAAGCTGCACGAATGCAATCATTCAATTTGCATCTATTCTTACCTTTGTCATTCGGGAAAACTCGCTCCTCAACACACTTAACATCAAAGAAATTGGAAATCCTACAACGACGCCCAGTCAATCTTCCTGTAGCATCAATATATTGGGCAGCCTTGACCTTGTGAGCCTTCACACTTGGCATGGGGTCCTTACTTGAGCTGATAGCGGGGCCTATATAGTCAACCCCTGGCCAAGCCGATACCGCGAGGATGCGAACACAAGCTTGAAAAGGCGTTGGATCTGTGCATCTGTCTCACTGCATGGCAGCACGGCATCTGAGTTTGTGAGTGCAAGCGCGGTAAGCCCTAATTCACCCACGCGAGCGCTGACCAACTGTGCTCTTCCAGGCACGCGGTGCGCAACCTTGTGGATCCACCCGCGCGATGCAAGCCGAGGCATTTCGGACGAAAGCCAGAGCAGGTGCACGAGAGTCGTCGAAATCGTGAAGAGACTCAACATCATTGTATATAATCACCATCAGTATTGTAAACATTACTACTGTATCGTAGGAGACACTCCAGATTACTGGAGAGATGGGGTGCGGAGAGCTGCTTGATTCTTAATCGGTCGCAGTAACACTCGCTGAGTCGCAATATGAGTCCTATCTAGCTGGCTTGATGTGGGGGGTACCGAAAATAGGGGACCCTAATATAGTACCCTAAAGTAGTAGGATCCTTATTATAAGGACCCCAAAATAAGGTACCCCTGTTTCCGAAAACTCCCATGTCCGGCCCTTGCTGGCGAGCTCATGGCATGCTTTGGTTTCAACAGGCACAGCGACAGCCCCAATCTTCGCGGATGAGAACCCTATCCATTTTAGGGTTTAGGGTTTAGGGTTTAAGCTTTGTGCAGATGTCTGGAGAACAGTTGCAGTATGTTCGATGACTCATGGATTCGAAAATGAAAACACTTTCATCGTCAACAACACATCAGAAGATAAATCCCAGACAGGGTTTGGGTGTTAGGGTGTAGGGTCCCGGATGTTAGTATTGGGCCTCAACAAGTAGAATGGGTTTTGGGGTCCAGTATACTATATTTATAACAAGGAACCTCCAAAATGATACGGGTAATTATTCAAGACCCTATATTAGGGTGTGGGGCTTTGGCATTCCAGGGTCTGGACAATCCCCAAACCCGTGGTTTAGGGAATTGGGTTTAATCAAGGGTTTAGTTGGGCTTCAATTAAAGTTTTTAATTAGGGTATAATTAGCGGACAAAAAACAACATAAGACCCCCCCCCCTGCTCGTAGAAGGCCATTGTAAAAGAAGGTTGGGCAGTAGCTGTAATGCAGTTCCCGCACCCCTAAACCGTGAACCCTACGTTGAGCTACCATAACTGTCATAACCGACCTCTTCTGTTTCAATTCTAGAAGATTCTAGACTCTATTATCTTCAAACAGGCTTTATATAGAGACCCTACAAGAAACGGGACCAGGTTTGGGTGGTTTCTGGCACATCCTTAACCCCTGAACGTCGAGGGCTCCCTGCTCAGCCAGGCGTCCGCTCATGTGGCCCATCGACCACTGGCCTGCAGCACCAGAAAGCACTGAGAGCTTTTGTGGGTGTTTAGGGTTAAGG